AAATTAGTTGGGTGTGGTGTTGTGCACCTGTAATCCCAGCTACTCAGGAGGCTGAGGTGGGAGGATCACCTGAGCCCAGAAGGTCAAGGCTGCAGTGAGCCAAGATCATGCCACTGCACTCCAGCTGGGATGCAAGAGTGAAACCCTGTCTCAAAAGCAAAAATGAAAAAAAAAAGATAAAGAAAGAAAATTACCAATGACCTGCATCCCTTAGTGCCTCCTCCCTGACATAGTCCCAGATCCCACACTGCCCACAACAATCACTAGACTGAATTTTGTAGTTATCATTTTCTTGCTTTTCAAAATATAATTTTATTTCATATTTATATGAGTCTAAACAACATACTGCGTAGCTTTATTTCTGAGTTTATAAAAATGGCGTTGAGCCATATGTAGTTTTCTGAGAACATGAATCAGATTAAAAAAAAAAAAAAAAAAAAAAAAAACAGCCATGGGGCCAGAAACTAGTTTTACTATCCCCACAGGAGACTCAAAATATAAGGGCAGCAAACTTCTGAGAAAACTGTTAATTTTATCATTTTGTTTTGTTTTTGAGACAGGGTCTTGCTCTGTCATGCAGGCTGTAGTGCAATGGTGCAGTCACGGCTCAGGGCAGCCTCGACCTCTCAGGCTCAAGCTATCCGCCCACTTCAGTACCTCCCAGGAGCTGGGACCACAGGTATATCTCACTATGTTGCCCAGGCCCAGTCTCGAACTCCTATGCTCAAAGTGCTAGGATTATAGGCATAAACCACCATGACTAGCCACTTTTATTATTAATGATTGATCTGTTCATTCAGTAAACACGTATTGAGTACCAACTAAGGCCATGTACTAAGCTAGGTGATACAGATTTTAAACCCACTTTTAAAAATCTTTAGTTTTTCATTTACTCCTCGGTCATATTTGGGTATAGTACAACAGACTCTTGACTTGAAAATGTATCTTTTATAGATTTCTAAGTTTTACAAATCTCTTCATTTATTCCCAGGGTAGTTCCAACGGTCCATCACAAATGTTAAGGACAAACATCAAATATCAAGCACATGGTATGTGGCAGCGCACATACCTGCACTACTAACATAATGTCTGCACACAGAGAGTAGTACAAATTAAATAATATACCCAAAAAGCAGTAGTAAAAATAAAATTTTAAACGCTATTTTTTAAAAGTATGTGAAAGAAAAGTATGCTAAAACCCTGTAACACCTTCCCTGCTTTAACAATACACCTACTTTTGCTTAAGGGCCTGAGTCCGACTCTTTTGACGGTGTGAAGCTGAGGCAAAATCCACAAAAATTCCACAAACGGAGACTCTGGAACGGGAACTGTTTGTATCTGTACGAAGGAGAAATAAAACTATTTTTGCAACACTGAAATATGTCTTCCAAGCAAGAAAAATATGAGAAGTAAAACAATTATAGGCATATATAACAATTATACTCAGTAAGCCCTTCAACTAATGACGAACATCTTCCATAAGCATTTCAGAGGCCTCTCTCGTCAGACATCTGCCATACAGGACTGTGATAAGGACTACAGCAGGCCATGTTTACGAACAGTTACAAAGCACCACACAGACATTTTTAAGAGGTGACTTTTTAAAAATAAGGAAACGTTTAAAGTCACAAAATTAAGACCTGAATAAAGACATCCTTGGAGCAGAGCTCACACTTCTGTGCAAGGCGTCAGCACTCAGCGAAGACTCCTTCACTGACCAAGTGGACCATGTACCAAATGGTCTCCTACTGCCCTAAAAAAGGATAAGGTTGTGCAGTTTATAACCAACTAGTCCAAGCACCACAGGGTGCAGCAGAGTATAGCCAACGGGGAAACAGAAAACAAACTGTATCGGCTACAGCAGCGAACACTGCTTAGCACCCAGAATGTGCCTGGCACTCCTTAAGCACCTTCCATGTTTAGCTTGTTTAACAATCTTCACAACAACCCTAAAGAAAGTCTGACCTTATTTCACAGTTAAAGAAACTGAGGCACAGGGAGGTTAAATAACTGCCCGAGATCACACAGCTAGTAAGTTATCTGAAACTCCGGAGTCAACACGGCTCTATGCTTCCTCCTTCAGCACAGACAGCAACTTCAACGCTGTGCTACACCCTACCACTGTCCCCTTGTGCCAGCTCAACATTAAACAGGGCCAAGAAAGTAGCTCCAGCTTTATCTGGAGCAACGTGTATGACAGTGAATAACTCCTTCAAATAACATATACGCCAAAAAATAATCTCATATATTGAGAGCTATAAATTCTTATCTTGTGAATCAGGCTAATGATGATATAACACTAAGCATATAGAAAATAAGTAACAAAAAAAGGTTATTCAAAGATCTGCTAAGAAAATCAGTAACGTTAAGTATAAAATCTTGCTCGCTTCTCAGCAACGCCACAGCAGACGAGCTTTAATGCCGTCAGGAAATCCAGTGTGTGGGTGGCACACAGACCCTTCCCTGAGTGCAGTGCCACTCCACGGGGTACTGAGGGAAACAGTCCCTGAGCCTCAGCTAGGCGACAGGGCTGAAGTAGGGGTAGATCCTTACCTCTACCAGGACAGGTGCCCTTTAGCTACAATTTAAAGAACGCTCTATCAGCACTGTCCAGCTCAGTTCTGCCACCTCTGTAGCAGGCACAAAATATGAGACAATGAATCATCCTGCAAAACTTTCATTGGTATTGGTGCATCATATTAATTACTAACTATAATTAATTGCATAAATTACTGAATATTTTACGAGATAATTTAAAGTAGTACATCATCAAATAATATTTTAATATTATCCTATTTTACCCTCGGTGCTCATGTTTTATCAGAATGTCATAGTTTTCCTTTAAAGCAATTTGAAATATTAATTGCTCCTCTCACAAGTAACATTATATCCTGAAGCCAAGAATTTGGAGAAAAAAATACATTTATAATTTAATTTAAAAAGGTCTTTGTTACAACAAAACCACAGCTCATATGAAGAAAAAGAAACCAAAAAAAAAGGTCCTTGTAGAGGCTGGGCACAGTGGCTCACGCCTGTAATCCCAACACTTTGGGAAGCCGAGGCAGGTGGATCACAAGGTCAAGAACTCAAGATCAGCCTGGCCAAGATGGTGAAACCCCGTCTCTACTAAAAATACAAAAATTAGCCAGGTGTTGTGGTGCACACCTGTAATCCCAGCTACTCAAAAGGCTGAGGCAGAGAATTGCTTAAACCTGGGAAGCCGAGGTTGCAGTGAGCTGAGATCGTGCCACTGCACTCCAGCCTGGAAGACAGGGCAAGACTTAATCTAGAAAAAAAAAACAAAAAACAAAACAAGGGTCCTTATACAAAAAAAGAATGAATCCAGAGCATGCCTTGTGTCGGGCTCAGCCTGGCTACATCCCAAGACCTGACAAGGACCTTGACCCCTCAGTCCCCATGTGCCTCATGAAGGCACTCACCAGCACACTGCCATGCCTCCAGAGAAAAACATGATTCTCTTCCTGTGGAAACTCCACAAGCATATTATCAGAAAAAATAAGAGCATGTGCTCACAGACAGGTAAAACACTGGTTGCAAAGAAAACATGAGCCAGGCTGCCCACTGAGGAGAGTCACAGCGTCCTCAGCTCCCTCAGGACAGACGAGCATCACTGTCCCCTGAGGAGGGCCACAGTGCTCTCAGCTCCCTCAGGACAGA